CCCAGCAAGCCGTGGTGGGCTCCTCCGGAGCACCCGCCTTTGGGGGCTCCCTGGGGCTGGGGGGCCTCTACAGCACCGGGGCCACTCAGGGCTCGGGCGGCCTCTGCACCTTTGGCAGACCCTACGCTTCTCCTGCCTGCAGCCCCTGCGCCTTGCCCTGCTACAGCAGGAAGCTCTGGGACACCTGCGGACCCTGCTAAATGCAGTCACGTGTCCTCTCCTCCTGCTCCTTCCTCATCCTGTTCACAGATGCATGATCCTTTCTGGGCCCTGTGGTGGCTGCTGCCTTGAAGATGCCTCGAGAAGCACCTCTCCTGAAGCCCTAGGCATCTCCTTCCTACTCGGATCTAGTACACATCTCTGCTGTTTGTTGTGTCCTTTCCTGCCTTTATGATTAAAAGGTTGCATCCAACGCTTGAGTATTTCTCTTTTCTTTTCAGGGAGCATGGAAGCTCTAGAGCTCCGCTCCCCTGCACATGGCCAACCCATTTGGACAGAACAGTCTCAGCTTCTTTCTGAGCCAGGCTGTGTTTCCTTGGGTCAAAGCCCCTGACTATGACACTCTGGCTCACATAGCACCATGACACTTTAGGAGATGACGAGTCAGAAAGCAAGGCTGCTCTTCTGGCCTCTGTGACTTACATCCCCATGTCTTCTGCTATCTCCTTGTTTTGGCTCTGCATTGAATTCTTCCTTTTTTTTTTTTTTTTTTTTTTGCCTGTATTGCTCCAGAATATTTTCTCCCTAGTCAGCAGATGCATGGCTTTTTGCTTTGTTAATTAACAAAAATCATTCCTTTGCTGTCACTCCCATCTATTAAACTATCTTGCTTTTCCAGTCTCAAAGTTTGATTCCCTCCCCTTTAATGCCAATCAGCTTTGTTCTAACTGCGTGTTAATTGGAATGCTTCTAAATGACGGACCAGTGCCATTAATGCATACATTTAAGGGGAGTTTTTCCAAGACTAAGCCTTAAGTAATCAACCAGTAACCACCATCCATTCCTTTAGTTCTCAAATGATATTAGACACAGACTAAAAGAATATAGTTACATACTGTTTTGCAACTAGACATGACCTCACCCTGAACAATCAACCAGCTCAAATAAAGCTATGCAATCGTGTTAGTTGGGTGATAATAGCACTCACCAATCTTGTTATCTTGGGCTAGGCACTTGCTGTCTAACACAGTATGCATCTAGTTTTAGCTGGCTTGCAGCCTGCCTGGCACTCTCAGCAAATCCATTGGAAGTTTGGTAGGAGAAGCTCGCATGTTCAGCACCTAAGTACCTTTTAGAGATGTGCATGAGAATGGGGATCCCAGTGTTGAGAAGAGAAACAAGAGAAACAGAGAAAAATCAGTCATCTCAGTTTTGTAAAATTGCTGCAGTTAATGAGCCGGCTGGGAGGAATCAGGGCTTTGCTCAACTCAAGAGGTGCCTGAGCCAAAGAGATGCAGGTTGGCATAAAGTAGGATGCTAGTTGTTTAGCTCCAGGGAAGTCAGCACAGCAGTGTCCTTGCCTCAACATATGTGAGACTGGAGGGCAGCAGCAGGAATGGAAAGCCATCTCCTTGTACCCAAAAGGTGGGAGACCTTCTCCATTCTGGCTGCGTGGGTTGCTTGCCCATTTGTGGGTCCCTTGAGGGAGACCAAAACATCCTCATCTGAGCCCTGCAGACTTCAGCACCATCCTAGCTTCCTACAAATTCCCAACAAAAAGCCCAAGACCATGAGAGCAGGTGGTATTGGGAGGCAAGAAAATGGGAGAAGCTTTTGATGAGGGTCTCTTTTTTTTTTTTTCATTGCAGTATTCTCAATATATATTTTTTAAATAAGTAAACATAAAATATTATCATCTTAAAATAAAAACAGGATGCATTATACAAGTAGTCAGGCTACTTTTGATTTCAACTCATTGCTACTTTCAGCATAGAGTCATCTGACATACCCACATACATAGGGGACAGTAAAATTATCAATTAAATTCTGGATTACTTCTTCACAGTGCTGAGGGCTGAGCTCAAGAAATCACACGTTCACTTTTTCATTGAAAGTGCCTGTGAAATAATCCCTAAAGCATCTGTAAAGCAGTACTTCATTTTCTTCGTACTTCGTTCAGCTGATGTACAGGCTTGGCCAAAACTTTCTTGAGGCAACAATTAGCTTAGCAGTGAAAAGGTAGTGCTTGATCACTGCTCATCAGATACCTATCTTAAAAATCATCTCCCATTTATCTTCCTCCTATTGTTCTTTTTCTGAATGTAATTTGACAGAACTTCAAGATAAGTTTATCACTTTATACATGAACACAGTGATATGTTCTAGTAACTTATACAAGATTTAAAAACAAAAACAGAACTAAACTCTAATCAAACACTGGAAGTTTGACAGCTGAAATAATTAGTGTTGAGGAGATGCAAGATAATTCCATCTCAGTAGCAAAGGAAAACTGGGCAGATAGCTTCCTTCATTGCAGGACTATGTGAGAGCTCCCAAGGGCTCTCCCCCAAGACATCTCAGCCAGGAATAAGAGTGGGCTGAAAGCCTGCCCTGGGTGGGAGGCAGGCCACATGCAGGGGAAGGGACACCTGGACCCCTACAGGGACTGCAAAGGAAAACTGGAGTCAAGCATTAGATACAGACTTGCTTTATTATATAGGTAAAGAACACAAGAACAGAAATGCAACAGGCTCTGGTGGGAAGGAGGCCCCAGGGCTTCAGGAAAGGGATTTCTTCAGGTTTCTCCCATGCAGCAGCCAGAGCAGGGCCCAGAAACAACCTCTGGGGGCATGGATGATGTTGAACATGCCTGGCCACTGACAGGGCAAAGAAGAAATGAAACAGGTAACAGAGGAAAAAAAAATTAGAAATGAGATTTAAGGAGCTATTCTGACTCCACTGTAATAAGAAGAAATTGTTGATGCTTGGCCCCTTATTCAGGAGCTCAGCTGAGAATCAGGATAGTACTGCCCATTTGCTGGTTCGCTCCCATGAGGGGAATATTCCTGCATGACTTAGCAGGGCCCGCAGCTGCCACGGCGGTACCTGCTGTACCGGTAGGAGTAAGGGCTGCAGTAGCCAGAACCATAGGATCTACCATAGCCATACAGGCCCCCATAGCCCAGGGAGGAGCCTCCATACAGCCCCCCATAGCCCAGGGAGGAGCCTCCATAGCCATACAGGCCCCCATAGCCCAGGGAGGAGCCTCCTTGGCCGTACAGACCCCTGTAGCCCAGCGAGGAGCTTCCGTAGCCCAGGGAGGAGCCCCCAAAGACAGGTGCTCCAGAGGATCCCACAACTGAATCCTGGGGGAAGGAGCTGAGGATGGGTCCAGGAAAGGTGACAACAACAGGAGGTGGCTGGATCACAGTTGTGGAGTCAGGGCACTGCCGGACGCATGGCTCATTCCCACTGTCAGCGATGGGCTGGGGGCGGCTGATGCCACCGATGTTGGTGGGACACAGGTCGTAGCAGGACATCTCTTAGGAATGGAGGTCAATCTGTATAATACCAGGTTGATTATATTAAGCTCAAGGCATTATTTGCATGACTATAACCACTATAGAGCTCTCTACCTTTCTTTCAACAGCACAGTCCTTTGAAGCACACTAATTCCTCCATATGCATTAGAATTGAAAAATCAAAGCAGCAAAACTATTTTTTAAGGTGCTTTGGTGAGTCATTGGATTAGCACAGGATTCTGAGTCCCCAAGAACTCAGTGTCGTGTTATGCATGATTTCATGACTCTAGCTCATATTTACTACTGATCTTCTCTGTGCTGAGCCTTATAGAGAGAAGGATTGTAAGTCACTGACTATTCAGATTTGCTCAGTAATTTGTTTGATGAGACCATTCCAATGGAATTGCAAAGGCTATTGTCCCCCTTTTCTAAACACTGGATCGTGGCAAAGATATTTTTGACCAGTTTCTCTAAAGAGCTTAGAACTCCATATTAAAATGCCCTGTAACTAATCTCCCTCTAAACGACTCACTTCCATCAGCACCAAAAAACAGCTCTTCACTAGTTACCTCCTTAAGTTCTCAGCATAACTCCTTATTGTTAAGAAACACCTTTCATTTCCTTTGTGTTTTGCCTCTAATTCGGTGCCTAATCTCCGATAGCATTCATGCCCATTTTTCTTGAGTTCATTTTAAAGCAGCTTCGGTAATCTATAATAGACATAATGGAAAGTCCACTTCTAAGTGGAAACCTTTCCTGTAAACCACATAGATTTAAACTTTTTCAAAATTTTCTGTTTATTTAATTATCTGTGTTATGGAAAGGGCAAAAAGGGCAACAGATATTGAACTTGTCACATCATTTCTTCAACTGTTGGAAGTAAACTGATAATCAACTTCTTATGCCCTATCAAGAAACTTTTGGTTGGCTTTGAAAGTAAATGCCAGCACTGAATATGGTTGTGCATAGTCCTTTAAAACATTTCTGTAGAATTTTCTCCTAAAATTTACTCATTAGTACTATTTAGAGACCATCCAACATTAAATAACATAGAAAAGAGGTATTATAGTAGTCATAAAGAGCAGATTCAAACTTACCCAATTCACCAAGAAGAGTAAATGAAGAGATGAGGTTGGAAGAACCCTGAGTGGAGAGTGCTTTTATACAGCACTGACTGCCTGAGGGGTGAGAGGCTGGTTTTGTGAACATCAAGCTAATAAGCTGACAGGACGCATTTTTTGTACTGATACCTCCATAAAGTGATGAAATTCTCTTGCTTTCTGTTTTTGCTTATTACTTGATTCCAATTATCATGCAACATAACACGTTACATCACACAAGGGTCTTTGATCTAAAACAGTGATGGGTGAAATGAGAGCATCTTTCATCCTAAAACATGACTCATGAGACTAATATCGGTTTTCTATCCTCTGTGGAGTTGCACCATGTAGTAAGCTGCTTATATGTAGTTAATGCTTCTTTTGCTGTGTCATACAATGATGATACTTTATCACAAATAATCTGTTGAGAGTTCTAAGTACCTTACATAAGGCTACATTGAACAGATGAATTTTGGATGTTCGAAACATAAATCGAAATAGCTGTTAAAGGGTTTCTGCCACTCTTTCACTTGTATTTCCAATAGGTAAAAACATCACCTTTAAGATATCAGTGTCTGAAGTGCCATTGAAGTGACACTAAGTGGACAGATTCCCTGTGAATATCAGAAATAAGCATTCAGATACTCAAAACACTCAATTTATTCCATGAGTTTGAAAAGGTGCATTTTCCTGAGATTCAATTAATTCCTAGCTTGCTTGATCCTGGAATCCTTGATCCTGGTCTACAACTGATCTTGCATAAAAGATGATGATTGACAGCATCTCTCAGCAGAAAGCAATTATAAGCTGGGAAACCATTGGGAAAAGAAAATAGTGGCTTTTGCTGAGGTTTCTTTCTTTACAGCATTATTTTAATACCATATCATTATGATGGTTATCATAATCATCATAATTATCAACCTAGTAATCTTCATATCATATATTGTTTCTAAATTATGAGCTTTTCCAGATCAGGAGATTTCCTGTACTATAATACTGAAAACTGTCCCCAAGTTTTATGAGGACATTCCAATGGACTTTCAAATATCCCACAAATAATCATTACCACTTTGTGCATACTGAGTCAATATTACATTAAAAACCTGGATGCAGACACTTCCCTATTATGAGAGATTATCACACTGAAATATATAGGTGAAGATCACTTGGCTCTTTAAAGTAATCAGTTTGTGGTTTATAACACTTCTTGTAATTTCGACTTTCTATTTGAAATCTCATTTCCATTTTATTGAAGCATGCTTTTGTCCACAAGAAGTAATCTACATGTGTTAAACATTTAACAACTAGATGACAACCCATGGTATGATAGTCATTGCCTTCATTTCATGTCAGAATAATATAAAGGAAAGTCAGTTTGATGGAAAAAAAACTCAAAACTCTATTTCCAGAGAGGTTTGTGATTACCAGCTGAAATATTCTTCTTTTCCCAAGACTGAAAGACAACTGATAGAGAATTCTCCAGAAGTCACTAAAAGACACTCTTATTTCCTGATCACTGCAATTGCCCTGTGATGAGTGTTTGGAGGTAGAAGTGTTAAGCCTGCAAAAAGCCTCCAGCCTTCATTGGAGCTCCTAAATAAATTTAATTTTCCCTGTGGGTAAACTATCACCTCAACTGATTACACTAAAAGACGCTGTGAATGGATAAAAAGAAATTACTGTCCTGTCACCTTAATAATGTATGACTCTTAAATAAGTTGAGTCAGCTTGCTTGATCCCCTAAAGAGCAACGAAATAAAAAAATTACTCCTGGAGATGATGGAGAGGTCTGCAGTGGAGCATGCATGTCACGCTATGTGTGGGTTTGGAGTGCCTGCAATATGCAAACAAAAAAGCAAAAACAATTTCAGCACTTAGAGGAACTGTGTGTCCCACAGTTTGGGGTTGGTACCTAATTATGAACTCAAGCACGGGATGCCTAACATCCCCCAGGCAATGGTAGGAACTGTATAAAAGCTCTCTCCTCCAGGTCCTTCTATCCACTTCTCTCGCCTTACTCGCCTTTGTGTACTGGGTAAGTCAGATTTCTTCCAAGCTGCAAAGATTAACTTGTCGCAAACTCTTGGTTTGAACTTAGAACCAAGTGCTCTTCAGGTCTGCCAGACTGTGAGCGATCTGTGATTGATTGTTTATGAAAATAATGCTTATTTTTTCCATTTACATGAGAGTCCTCAGGGAGCCAGGCTCCAGAAAAAGACTTTGAGGGTATTTTAAGCAGGTTAGATTCCCAGGCTTCTTACATCTTAATGCTGAAAAGGATTTCCTTGACTATCTACAATTCTATATACTATTTTAAGACAAAGAATAGTTCATACATATAGGCAGAATTATGGTAATGTTCAACAGATTTCTACTAGTAGCAAAGAAGTACTAGTAGCAACTGGTACTCGCATTGTGCTACTGAAACTAGCTCACCTGCAAATAACAGAAATCACATTTGAACAGGATGTGAATTTGCCATATTAAGGTGAAGACCGTTCTTCAAACTGCAAAGCAAAGAAGAATAGTAATAGACTATGCGTACTTCCCAGATTTATTACTGATGCTCTGCTGGACTCCTTCATCACAGTCTATCTAATTTTTGTTATTTCTTTAATGCTAACGTAAAGGCCCATGTTTTGCAGGTTGACCTCCATTCCTAAGAGATGTCCTGCTACGACCTGTGTCCCACCAACATCGGTGGCATCAGCCGCCCC